GATATCTGCATACATGACTGTTACATGCAAAGTATTATGCAAAAGTACAGCAATAGATCAATCAGTTAAATATTTTCTTGGAAGGGATCTAAATTTTTCTTTAATTATCATTACAGTCATTAGACCATTTTTAATTTTAAAACGTAAAGTTATCCGACGAAAAATACTGTAGTGCTCGTTGTGTTAATNTTACAGTCATTAGACCATTTTTAATTTTAAAACGTAGAGTTATCCGACGAAAAATACTGTAGTGCTCGTTGTGTTAATTGCCGCAGCACTAAACATTTTTAGAAAACTAAGCGTTATACATACGCATTTCTTATTGCGCATTTTATTCGCTGTGACTTTAGGTTAAAATACAGTGTCGACAATCAAATACAATTAATCAGTTCTACATCATCCGATGTACAATCAACATTAATATCAAGAATAGGATAGTTAAGTGCACATTTTCCAAGCGTCCGCTTAAACAACAATGGTAATCCGTCTTTGGACCGGCCAAGTCAGTAGTTACTCGCATTATACACGGTACAATGATTAATGGATCGGTCAATTAATTAACCGACACTTGTTGAATGTCTGCATAACTACCTGTTCTCGTATTCTGACACGTACAAATACAATGATGATGTGCCTATATTTGATCGGGTCATGTATATGGTTCAAGTATCAATCGAATACATTGCTGTGAATTGGATGAAAGCACTTTGCTACTGAAAACTATTTAACAAAGAAAGATCTTCAAAATTTATAAACAGTATAGTATTATAAAATAATGTGACGTGGTTTTATAACTAACGTCCACGTGATTAATTGTCAGTCAACTGCTACCGAGTTAAGTATGAGAATTAGGACGGCAACAAGTGAAAACACTTAACTAGGAGTCTCACGAAGATTTGTTCGTTGAAATGTAACTAGATATATTGACACTAAATACTAAACAGTAATGGTTTGAAGCTTGTATCTATTATTAAAGTGAAGCGTTTCCCTCTTACTCATTAACTTAAGCATAAAATATCTTTTTACAAATAAAAATCTATTTTATATTAATAGCTCGATTTAAAACATTAAACCTCCTTTATTTTTATTTTTTACAATAATAAAAAATATGAAAATTTTAGTATTGTAAATCATTTTAAAAATTTCATCTTTTGATTATTATACATGAATAATGCTGCATGGAAAAATACAATTACTTTGACGGGTAAATATATTAGCTGTGCGATGAGGTATCGTTTTGCATAAATTATTTGTAATGTAATATCGTTAATCCTTCTAGTCACTAGAAGGATCTAGTGGCATCACGTTTACCATAAATGTTACTATAGGATAAAAGATTTGGCAAAAAAAAAAAAATTAATAATAATAAGTAATTTATTATTTCAATCGGATCACGTACAATATATTTGTTTTTTTAACAAACAGTTTTAATAACGAATTGCTCCTTTTTT